GTTGTTGTTGTTTGTTTTTCTTTTTTAAAGACTTATTTATTTATGCGCTCAAGAACTGGGATGTAGGGTGTGGTGGTGAGCAGATTCCCCAGAGACAGAGTGGTGGAGCAGAACAGAGAGACTGACTGAAATACAGGGAGCAGCGGGCGGTCAGGAGAGGTCTGCCAGCCATGTGGGTCACCTCATGCACTGCAGTAGCAACGGAGAGCTTCACAGTCCAGTGCTCTAGCCTGCTACACCACCAGGGAGGGCCCTGTCTTTGTTTCTTAATTAATGGCTTTGGGATAAGATTTGCATTTCATAAAATTCACCCACTTAGAAATATACAATTCAGTGCTTTTTATATGTTCACGGAGTTGTCCAATCATTGGCACTATCTGGTTTTAAAGGATTTTCATTACTTTTCCAGAAAACCCGTAGACTCTAGTAGTTACTCCGCCTCCCCCTTCCCATCTGATCCCCTTCTGTTCCTGTGGCTCTGCCCATGGGAGACCATCCACGTGAATAGAATCAGACCCTGTGCGGCTTTTGTATGTAGCTTCTTTTACTTAACATGACATTTTCAAGGTGGATCCATGTCTTACTTCATCCCCTTTTGCTTAATCTTGTATGTGTGTATATAACACATTTTGTTTATCCACCTGTTGGACACAGGTTGATTCTATTTTTTTTCGCCACTGTGATTGTCCTACTATGAACATTCAAGTACATTTATGTACATGTTTTGTGTGAATAGCTGTTTTCAGTTTCTCTAGAAGTGGAATTGCTCGTTGGCATGGTAACTGTTTACTCATTCGAAGAACTGCCAAACTCTTATCCGAGTCTGTGATTGGAGTTCTTAATGTTAGTGTGCCGCTTTCACTTAAGATTCAGGCTGCAGGAAGAAGTGAGGCAGGTTGGAGAATGAAGGAGGGGGTAAAGAATGAGCCTCGGACTGCTGCGGTGTGACTTGGTAGTTTGTTTAGGTGTCCATGGTAACAGATGTTTTCATAGGTTTCCTGTATGCTGAGTGAACACCAGTACTGCCTTCCAACATGTCATGACTTAGGGCAGCTGGAAGTCCTTTACAAACCTTCTGTACATCTCAAGACTCATGACTCCAGGGCCTCCTGAATCTCCAGCACCCACATTCGTCTGGGCCATCTCTAATGCTCCCCACACGTCCCTGTGGGTGGCAACTTCGCCTCCTCATAGGTCCTCCAGGTGATGCAGTCCTGCCACGCACTTCTCAGCTTGGAAGATCTTTGTGAAAACTGGAGTTGCCATGAAGGCTATGGCATCCTTACAGTGTCCTCCTCTTGTCTTCCATCTACTAAGTTCCCTCATTCCAGATCTCCCGCACTACTGTTCCCAGGTTTTAATACTTAATTACACAGAACCGCTTTTCTCTTAAAAATCTTAGGCTTTGGAGATACAACTTCTAGCCTCAGGAGCTTATCAGAACCTTCACCTAACAGTAGTAGATTCTTTTCTGCGAAGAGAAAAATCCCTTTTCCATCTTCATTCACATGTAACTCATTCTGTCAGCCCGGTTGGAATGTGTCCCAAGCATGAAGCACAGTGAAGGTTATATACAAGACAGAGCCAAGGAAAATGTAGAAGGTTGAAAGAACATATGAATTTACTGTACCTACAGTTTAGATTTACATGAGTACAGTGTGTAAGGGAGGCACTTCTAATGCTTGTTCACTTTACCCCACTGAGTACTTATTATCTAGTCCCTTGCAAGAAATGGAGGAGAAATCAAGACTGGGGTTGCTGCTGCACCCTGGTGTGAGCAGTGTGCCTTGGGGAAGCTCTGGAATACCCTCGGCCTTCTGACATGCTCATTTGTACAAGAGAACGTGCTAGCAACCACTCTAAGGAGTAGGTTGGATGATTTAATGAAATCACATAGGTGAAGCCTGCTGCATAGAAACCAACACATGTGAGGGCTCAGCAAGCCCCTGCCAGGTGAACTGAGCTCCCACCTGGTGGCTGTGGTTCTGGCTTTTCCAGGCCAGGGAGCTTGGGGCCTGCCATCTTTATTGACACTTCAGCACGAGAGGGATGGTGAAGGAATTCTAATTATTTGGTGTTATAGATTTTTTTTTAAAATTAAGCAGGGCTGTAATGTTTCCATCTTTCAGGGGGACAGCCAAGGGAATTGAGAGGCTGGCAGAATATGTATCTTCAGGGCTTGTAGTGTTGAAAACCCCGTGTGTGTGTGTGTGTGTGTGTGTGTGTGTGTGTGTATTTGCCGGCTGTTGCTGTGGAGCTGTGAACATTTAAAGCAAGGAGGGTGGTGGAGTGGGCGCCTCCCTCCTCCCCAGTGAGCAGAGGAGGTCAGCACTGCATAGACCCATTAACACCTAATTCCTCACCTCCTCTTCTCTTTTTTCCAGCAGCCCTCATCCATGTCAGTAGGAGATAGTCTTGCTTCTGGTTCTATGACTTTTACTGTACAGATGCCATCATAGAGATTTATTTATTTTGGCTGATGTTTAGTTATTTCCTTGTTGAAGAAAATTTTTTGCCCTGTTGAGCTTATAAATGTAGCCTGTCTCTCCCAGGTTAGCAGCTCTTCAGCAAAAGTACATCAGAATTGTCTGGGGAACTTTTCAGAAATACAGATCCCCTATCCCTGCTCCTGATTGTGATAAGTCTGGAATGGACAGGGCACATCTGGAACCTTCAAAAACCTTAAATATGCCCATTCCTGGCTGAGAAAGCTTTGCTCTAGACACCCGAGTGGTCTTTTAAAACCTGGAAATCCCACACAGCTGGTCGGAGTGGCAGCCTGTAGAGACATGGCACTCGGAGTGGCAGCCTGTAGAGTGAATGCCACTCGGACAATCTGTCACTGTGCTGAAACTAGCATACTGCCAAGCTGGTGGCTTTACAGGGAATGAGAATCTGCCATTTTGTTGAAAGACAAGTTTATTCTGTAGTCAGAGCACTTGAGTAATGAGTACACAGGCCATGTGGATAGAACAGGCAGTGAGATGAATGGGTGGGGGAGGGGTGCACTCCCCAAGAAGGTCCCCCTTCGTCTCTCATGGTGGACTGCAGAGAGACTGGGCCCAGACATTGCACTAGACAGAACCTCACATTCAGCAAAACAAACAAACATTCAGAGAGGTGATCCAAAGAAAGGCGGCACAGGCAGAGCTATAGAGCCAGAGTCCAGAGCACCGTTGATGCTATAATCTTCTAAAAATATGAGTCAGCTCTTGGTATCCTTCTACTTCAAGCTCAGCTGTGGATTCTCATTGTACCTGGAAGGTAATCCGAGCTCCACATAGTGACCTACAGGGTTCTCCCTATTTCTGTGACTGCTCTTCCTCCTGTTCACTTTCTCCAGGCTTTTGGCTTTCCCAAGAATTTACCTCCTGTGAAGTTCCTTATTGTCCCATGACCTTGTTATCGTCCCTTTCCAAGCTAATCCTTCCCTCCATCCCTGCATGGCTGGCTCTGTACCTGTGTTCAGGTGCCAGCTCAGAGGGTAAATGAGGCCTTACTTGTACATCCTATTAAAACGAACTCTCCCCAACTTCACTCTGAAATGTATCACCTTGTTTTATCTTTGCTCTCCCATGGAACTTATTACATAAAAATCTCTCATTTATTTGCTGTCGCTTTCACTAGAATGCAGGTTCCATAGAGCAGACCTGGCTTCCTGGGTGCCTTCTGTGTCCCTGGCACCTGGAGCATTGCTAGGCAGAGTGGGAGCTTAGTGAAAGTGGGTGAGTGAATGAGTCAGCAAGCAGAAGAATGACTGCAAATCCCAGTACTCAGTCAGTTAACTGGGGCACAGAGGGCTGGGGCCCCAGACTGAAATTCTGGGGGCTTGAGGTCAGCAACCAGACCAAAGGCAGTCACATCAGAGTTACATCAGCCAAGAGGGACAGTCAGCTCCTTCTGCAGAGGGATCTCCCTGCAACCTCCTTGGCAGGACCTGAGCCCAAGGGCAGGAAACACGTGCACCATCACTTTGGGCACGTCAGTCTCCGAGGCCTGAGTCAAGTCTTGTGTAGCTGAATTCCTGCCAAGGCTGACTCGCAGGAATGTTCTTTCTGACCTTCTGCCCAATGGGGCAGAACACAGTACATTTCAAGATGTGAGATATATATATATATATATATATATATATATAT